ATAGTCTCTGTTTCTTTTCATATTGGGTTGTACTTACGTCTACAACCTGTGACTGAGCCACATTTTTGACAGCAGGAATATGTACAAAAGCCAATGTGTGGGTGCCAGAAAGGTCTGCAATGATCAATGATGGATGGATTTTTGTTGTTGTTGTTGTTGATGATGATGTTTGTTTGTTGTATCAAAAGTTCATCAGTTAGGTTTATGAGTCTTTGTTGGACAATGACACATTTTTTAGTGCTTTTGCCTCCATTCTGTACCAAGAGATTTTAAATCAAATGATCAAGATGTGAATCAAGGGAAGTGCAGACTTTAATTCAAAGTGTTTATACAAAGGTCTGAATTTAATTATCAGGGACAAAAAAACCCTGGAGAAATTAACAAGGGTTGCTTTTAATAAGTGGGCAAAAATCTTTTACAGTCAGTGATGGTCTGACATCCAGAAATTAGTTCAGTTTTTTCTTCTGAAAGTGTAACTCTGTTGGCTTGATGTAACTGATATGGCCATTAAAGAACATAGCCTTTCTTTGCCTTGAGAAAGTTGCTTTTGCAGAATGTGTTTGGTCATTATCCAGTTTGCACTGCGAAGTGTCCATTGTACAACTGGGTTGAATTGGAACATAGAGTACAGCCCTGCATGCTTCACAGTTCATCCTGCTACTTATATCAGCAGCTGAATCGTCATCAATAAACTCTAGTAAACTGGTTCCACTGGCAGCCATACATACTCATGCCATAACACTGACTCCACCGTGTTTGACAGATGGTGTGTTATGCTTTGGATCATGAGTTGTTTTTTTCCTGCTTCACTATCCTTTTCCCATTATTATTGGCTTCATCCGTGCAGGTTCTTTTAGATATATTTCTGGCAAAGTCTAATCTGGCCTGTCTCTTGTTGAGTTTAACCAGCAGATTGAATCCTCTTTTAAAATGACTCGATTTCCATTCATGAAGGCAACTAACTACCTCCTAAAGAGTGTTCTTGACTTTCTTAACCAAGAAAGTCAAGAACACTCTGATAACGACTGTGTTTAGACCGTCCCCTCCATTCCATGCAAGACCACCTGGGTTGGCCTGGGTTGGCTGGAAGACTGTTTACTTAGCCTGGCGGGGCGAAGGACACTGTCTCAGCTGAACTCTGGACACACACACACACACACTGATATGCACACACTGATCCCCCCTCCCTTTCCAAACGCCTTCGATGCTTGTGCCCTACCGGGGAAGATGGCAGTCGACTGGACCAGCGCAGACACGCTGCAGGACCGGATGCGCTGTCTACACCGGCTCTCTCTTACCCTTTACCCGCCCCTGTTGCTTGTCTTGTGTTTCTATGGTGTACTGATAGTCATGTGCTTTTTGTGCTGAGGTGTTTTTTCTGTTATCAAACTGTTCTCCCACTCGGAGCTCAGTCTGAGTGGAGTTTTTTTTCTCCTCCTTTTACCTCATGTTATGTATTTTTGTTGTTTTTTTCCTATCAGCCTACCTTTCTGACATGTCTCCCCAATGTGATGTTTGTGTAAAGTTGGTCAGAAGGTTCCTTTGTAAGTGTGCATGCGCCATTAGCGTGCTGCCTGCTGTTACCCTAATTTCCTTCGGGATTAATAAAGTATTCTGATTCTGATTCTGATTCTGAAAAGAATTCTGCGATCATCCACTTTAGTTTCTCCTGTAGTTTCCTACGCTTTCTGGTGTTGCTCAGCTGCCCCCCTGTGTCCCTTCTTGTAACAGATTATTGATTTGGCAGCTGTTTATTTTGGTTTATTTTTGATTTAAAATCCATCGTTGTGTGGTGGTCCACAAAGGCTAAATTACAAAAAAACAAACACAAATAAAGTGTGTCATTGTCCATATACTTATGGACCTGAGTGTATGTGCAGCAGTCTTATCATCAGATAACACATGTAAGTATAAAATACAGGTTGGTATGAATTCCTAAGTTCTCTAAAATCTCCCAGTTCTTATGTAACAATAGAAAGTATACTGTTCTAACATTGCTCCATTACAAGCTCTCACATTACACTTGGCTTATCTGTGACATAATTCTTCACTAACAGAAATCTGTGGTCAGGTCATTGTCTGGATGTATAAAAGCAGCTGCAGTTCGCTGTGCTTTACCGTTTCTACATGTGAAAAATTTTCATTGATGCCTTTTGAGGTCCAAAACTTGGTCCTCATGTTCAGTTGTGGTTTAACAGTACAGTTTTAATGCAGTGGTATGTTTGTTTATATCTTTGTTTTCTTAAGCAGCAATCATGAAACATTGTAAAGCAAAGATCTGCAACGCAGAATGTAATACACAAACTAATGTTCCAGGAGTGTAGACAACACTATTGCAAGTTGTTTAACTTGTGCGTTGTGTTAGCTCTCCCATTGGTAATGGCAGTAAATCTAACTTCTGAATCTTTGTACATGTTTAGGATGAAAGCAATGACAGTTTCAGATTTTCAGTTCATGTCCTCCAACTTTAAGTGACAGTGGATTTTCACAGTGCTGGCTGCTGTATATTTGCATTTGTGGTTTGTAGCATGTATTTTCTAATGCAAAATAAGAGAGGCCAAATTTTTACCACTTGTTTGTTTTTTCTAATCAAATGAAATGTCTCTTTTGAGGAAGTTATATGTCCGCCATTCATTTTACATGTTTTCTCCTGTTTATTGATGTGTTTTAATACCCATGCTGAATTTTTACAAATGTAATTGGATACTGTTTGGCTGAGTTTTACACCACTGTCATTAAAATATGTAACACACAAACTGAACTTAATAAAATTTTGATTGTATGATCAAAATGACTGGCTTCATGTTTTATTTCTTTAAACATGGTTTTCACTATCAAAATGATGCTTGCATTTTGAATGAAAGAAGCAGTGAAGCAGTGATGTTGGACATTTGAAGTTTTTCTGCTAGTTCATCCCAAAAGTGTTTAATGAGACTGAGGACAAGGCTCTGTGTTCGCCAGTCAAGTTCTTTCACAATAAACACATCCAACTATATGAATCACGCTTTGTGCAAAGCGGAAGCGGGATCTAAATACTGTGTTCCCTAAACCCTAAACTGTTCCCATGACGGAAGCAGAGACTTGTCTAAAATGTCTTGATAACCTGAAGCATTAAGATATTCCTTCACTGAATCTAATGAGCCCAGGGCCAGCCGCAGGGAAGCTATAATTAGGGGTGTGGATACAATTGATTTCTTTAACTGTAGATGGCAGATCTTTAACTTTTCACACATATCATAGTTTCACTGCATTTGTAGTTCTTCAATTACAGTTTTATAGCCAAAGCACTTCCCATAATTTTATAAAAGGAATTTAACTCAAAGGAATCTACATGTTGTGCCAAATCACTATGTATGGACCTACAACAGTATGAAAGAGATGAACATAAAATACTGAAATACAGGAAATGAGCAGTAAATTAAATATCCAATTCTAAAACAGTTTGGACGCTGTGTAAACTATAAATAAAAAACAGAATCTTTTATTCACAACTGAGATATTTTAGGTCATTTTGAATTCGATCGCAGCAGCAATGTTAGGCCCACTTGATTGATTTAAAATCTTGGAAAATTTGTCATTTTCCAAAAACCTATGAACCTAATTGTATCTACATCTTCTCACACACACACACACACACACACACACACACACACACACACACACACACACACACACACACACACACACACACACAC